GTACCCTGTTTAATGTACGGTTTACAGCTTATTGTACGGTATACAGCTTAATGTATGGTACACAGCTTAATGTATAATATACAGCTTTATGTATAATATACAGCTTAATGTACAGTATACCACGTAATGTATGGTCTACAGCTTAATGTGCAGTATACATCTTAATGTATGGTACACAGCTTAATGTATAATATACAGCTTAATGTGCAGTATACAACGTAATGCACGATATACAGCTTAATATATGGTATACAGTTTAATGTATAGTATACAGCGTAATGTACGGTGTAGCGGACCACGGGTAACCCAACTGGTTACCTCCTCTAATTCCTTCTCTCAGCCAGACTGGAACCATTAAAACATGCAGACATTCATTCCCCCAGTAACCAGACAAAACATAGTTCTGGGAGTCAATTGATTTATTTTCGACCACACACAGCTTTTATGCACAAACCCCTTCATGGGTTCTCCAATACAATAACACAGGGATTTTAATCCCAAAATCCTCTGTGCCTGAGAGATAATTGTATGAGAAAATAATATAATTCAATTATTACTCAGGTATGATAAATCTAACAAAATATGCAGTACCCCAAAAGTGCTCTAACCATACTCAGGACCCGCATAAAAAGTACATCCTCGGATAGCCCCGATCTGAGTGTGTAACACATCCAAAGATCATTGAAAAGAGCAGAGAACGATAAGTTGCCCAGGTATGGCAAAGAAAAATTGTTTAAAACTTAACTTTTAATCAAAATTGATTAAGAGGGTATGCAAGGATATTATCTAAGGGAATCATAAGTCAACTGAAAGTTGAATAATCATTGTGTATGGATGCAAATTGCTGATATTGCATTCATAGACAGTGGAAAACGAAATGGATGATCGACCTTGTGACAGACCGTCTGGCACCCCGACTGGCTAGTGGTTTGGACCTTGTTTTTTGTTTTGTTTCTTGAATTTGTGTGTGTATATGTGTAAGAGTGTGTATTTAGGTAACATTGTTGGTACATGTGGTGTGTGTACCTATGAGTGTGTTTATATGTGTAACTGTGTATTTGTGAGTGTATGACTGCGTATGGCAGTGTGTGCCTGTGAGTGTGTTTATATGTGTAACTGTGTATTTGTGAGTGTATGACTGCGTATGGCAGTGTATGCCTGTGAGTGTGTGTAACTGTGTATTTGTGAGTGTATGACTGCGTATGGCAGTGTGTACCTGTGAGTGTGTGTAACTGTGTATTTGTGAGTGTATGACTGCGTATGGCAGTGTGTACCTGTGAGTGTGTGTAACTGTGTATTTGTGAGTGTATGACTGCGTATGGCAGTGTGTACCTGTGAGTGTGTGTAACTGTGTATTTGTGAGTGTATGACTGCGTATGGCAGTGTGTGCCTGTGAGTGTGTGTACCTGTGTATTTGTGAGTGTATGACTGCGTATGGCAGTGTGTGCCTGTGAGTGTGTGTAACTGTGTATTTGTGAGTGTATGACTGCATATGGCAGTGTGTGCCTGTGAGGTGTGTGTAACTTCTGTGTATTTGTGGGTATATGACTGCATGGCAGTGTGTACCTGTGAGGTGTGTGTAACTGTGTATTTGTGAGATTAGCCCTTGTGCGTATGGCAGTGTGTACCTGTGTGAGTGTGTGTAACTGTGTATTTGTGAGTGTATGACCTAAAATTATGGCAGTGTGTACCTGTGAGTGTGTGTAACTGTGTATTTGTGAGTGTATGACTGCATATGGCAGTGTGTACCTGTGAGTGTGTGTAACTGTGTATTTGTGAGTGTATGACTGCGTATGGCAGTGTGTGCCTGTGAGTGTGTGTAACTGTGTATTTGTGAGTGTATGACTGCGTATGGCAGTGTGTACCTGTGAGTGTGTGTAACTGTGTATTTGTGAGTGTATGACTGCATATGGCAGTGTGTGCCTGTGAGTGTGTGTAACTGTGTATTTGTGAGTGTATGACTGCGTATGGCAGTGTGTACCTGTGAGTGTGTGTAACTGTGTATTTGTGAGTGTATGACTGCGTATGGCAGTGTGTACCTGTGAGTGTGTGTAACTGTGTATTTGTGAGTGTATGACTGCGTATGGCAGTGTGTGCCTGTGAGTGTGTGTAACTGTGTATTTGTGAGTGTATGACTGCGTATGGCAGTGTGTGCCTGTGAGTGTGTGTAACTGTGTATTTGTGAGTGTATGACTGCATATGGCAGTGTGTGCCTGTGAGTGTGTGTAACTGTGTATTTGTGAGTGTATGACTGCATATGGCAGTGTGTGCCTGTGAGTGTGTGTAACTGTGTATTTGTGAGTGTATGACTGCGTATGGCAGTGTGTACCTGTGAGTGTGTGTAACTGTGTATTTGTGAGTGTATGACTGCATATGGCAGTGTGTGCCTGTGAGTGTGTGTAACTGTGTATTTGTGAGTGTATGAATTCAGAGGAACTTGGCTACTAAAGAGCCACACAGTACTGATCATCAGCCTAGATCTGCTAGCAACCAAATAAGCGGGGAAACTGGAAAGAAAGGACAAAATCTGATACTGAGTCTGGGACAATATAATGGTAGAACGTACCCAAAAGTCCCATTACAGCTACGAGACCAGACTGAGAAACTCAGATGCTTCAACTGCCACATGCATGGACATATTACATATAACTGTCCTGAGAGTGAAGAGCCAATACAGTGTGACATAGGAATAAGGGCTCTGCATAGGATAGTATTGCCTTGCTTAAAGATGTGTATGGTGACTGGTGGTGTTACAGCACAGCTAAAAGTGGTGATGGTGGTAGGGAAGAGTGCACAAGCACTAATTAATTCAGGGAGTGAGGCTACTTTGAAAAGTGTTCTGCTCCAGCCAGAAAAATGTGATTTAAGACAAGTGTTTGATATTGTGGGTACACATGGTGACACCCGCACATACCCCATGGCAGAGGTAGAGTTTGCCACAGAGGTAGTAAAAGTTAAATGCCCTGTAGTACATGTAGCTCAAACACAAGAGCGTATAGGTAAGGCCAGGTTTCTGAGTACCTTGGACCTGGTCATAAGGTATTGGCAGGTTCCCCTGACAGAGACAGCAAAGGGAAGGACAGCGTTTTCTACTCCCAAGGGGTTATGGCAACATAAAGTACTGCCATTCAGGTGGCATAGTGCACCAGCCCCATTTCAGCATATGAATAAGATACTTTGGCCCCACGGAGAGAATGCCGCTGCCTACCTTGGTGATATGGCGATTCACAGGGTGGACTTGGAAGCACACCTGATGAAGGTCCAGTTAGTTGTGAATAATGTAAGGGCTGTCGGTCTGACCGCTAACACTAAGTGTTATCTAGGATTTGAGGCAGCTAACTATTTGGGTTGTCCGCTTGGGTGGGGGTTCCTTAAACTACAAGGGAGCAAGGTAGCAGCCATCTACAATAGGCCACTTTCTGTAACTGAGGAGCAAGTCAGGGCTGGTACAGCCCCAGGTGACGTGAACATTCGTGGTTTGTGTTCTAAGGTCGCTCGACCCGATGGGTCTGAGCTGGGGGGGAGGATATGTGATAAAGTGAAGGCAGATAGGCCTTTTAACCCCAGGGGGAGTATGTGTAGTTTGTGTTTTGCACAACACAACGCATTGTTTAGTTATGGGCCCCTGGGGTGGAGCATTTGGAGAGAAGGGTGGGCCAATGCTCCACTCCACAGTTTAGTGGTTTTCTGGGGAGACATAGATCCAGGCCAGGGTTTTTTGGACTGTCTCCAACCCACTGCTCAGCTGCAGTTAATGAGCTGTTGCAGTGGGAATAAACTCCTCCCTGCTAGACAGGTAGAGGGGGATTGCTGGCTTCCTCCCAGGAAGCAGGTAGGAGAGAGGCTGATCTCTCCAGATAGAGTCAAAGAGACTAGGCACTGGGAGTGCGGAAAGGAAAGCAGTCAGGGCAAGGCTGGCTTGGAGCACTGGGAGTGCAGAAAGGAAAGCAGTCAGGGCAAAGCTGGCTTGGAGCACTGGGAGTGCAGAAAGGAAAGCAACAGGTTAGATAGCAGAGTGTTGCTATCTAAAAGGTTGGTGCAATATTGTTTAGTGTAACCCTGAGAGATAGGGAAACTTATGTCAGTTAGTGCTCAGACGAGCTAGGTTTTTTGTTTATAGGGTTTTCTGTTACATTTATGTTTTCATTTAACTGCTGTATCCTGTGTGAACTTACAAATAAAGTGCCTGGAGTATTTGCAACTACAAGGACTGTGCATGTTTTTGCCCTAGAGGACCGTGCTACCTGCAAACAAGGATCACATAGTTTACCTAAATCATTTGCCATTTGGCTTATCCCTTCTGGAACATCAACCCTGTTACATATCTTAGTATCATCAGCAAAAAGACATCCCTTACCATCAAGACCTTCTGCAATATCACTAAT